CCCCAAAACCCCAAAACCCCAAAACCCCAAAACCCCAAAACCCCAAAACCCCAGATTATAGCATAATAGTTGAAGATAATACAATTTTGGTCTAAATATTTCAGATCTAGCAAACCCTATAAATCTTCTTCCAATCCCCAAACTCTTCTAAAAACCTCTATCCACCCCTTTATCACCCTCCACCACCTCTCCCTCACCTCTCTCCTCTACCCCACCTCCGTCCCATCCTCCCACCCCAACTACTGCTGAACTACTGTTCCCAAAATCCCCATCCAACCTTGCCCACCAAAATCACGTTCCAACTCACCCTTCAAACTATCTTATCCATAATCCTTAACCCTAATGTCTTTGCCTCCTCATATGCTTAGCCAAATTGGCCTTCTGCGTGAAACTCCTCGAACAACTCCTGCACTGATACGGCTTGATGCCGAGATGAGTCCTGGCATGTTCGATGAAATTCCAGGATTTTCTGAATTTCTTTGTACAGGGAGTGTACCCACAGTGGATCATTCTGAATGGAAGGTTAGAGAATGGGTGGTCAAGGGGATTGGGTGAGAGGGAAATTGGGTGAGAAGGAAATTTTGAGGTTGGGATTTTGGGGAAGGGAGGTTTGAGGGAGGGGTTACCTTCGTTTTCTGCCTGGTTCGGATTTGGAGATGTAATGAATGGAGTGTCTGTATTTTGATAGTTCTGATGAGTTCTCTTCGATTGGGACATCGTCTAAGAAATCCATATTTCAATTGCTGCTATTTTTGGCTTTATCTTGATTTGAAGAACTGATAAATTTTTGCACAAATTTTGGAAATTTGTTATTAAAATTTGAAGAATCTTTGTGATGAGAATGTACACTTTTTGGATGACAGTCCTCTTTATGAGTCTCCAATGACTTTCCTTGTGTTGTGCTATCATTCAAAGCAGTACCGTTGCTTTCCGATTGTACACTTTTAATATACTTGTTATTAAGCCAATAATGATCTGTTATTATGTGTGAATTTGTAGAAAATATCGTTGACTCAGATAAAACATATAAATAAAGAGGTGCCAGTAATAAAGGTTTTTCTCTTCCTTGATATTCGGTAAACACCACAGGAAGCTTAGCAGGATCTCGTGTTTCATGGTCATCAATGAAATCTACAGAAGGAGCTGAATCTGGAAAGCCTCTGAATAAAATATTTGGCATATTCATTAGAATATTAATTATTTTTAGCAATTACTTCAATGAAATATCTACATCTCGGGGTTTTGGGGTTTTGGGGTTTTGGGGTTTTGGGGTTTTGGGG